TTAGAATAATTGCCAATGAGGCGGTTGAATTGAGGCGCATTAGGTTGCACGTTGATAGGCTGGTGGTTTACATTTCGCCAGAAGTAATACTAAAATTTTGAGCATTATAAGAACAAGTGTTGGCAAAACTTGTATGTGACATGGAATAGACTGGTATGTCGGCGGCAACGGGTGTATAGGCATATATCGATGTAACAGGTATATATATCTTTTTCTGAGGCTTCTAAAGTGAGTTGCAACTTACATATTTGCTGTTGAAGGTCTGCCATGGCTGTGTCGTTAACGACCATTGTGCGTTCTCCTTCACCTTCACTGGATGATTCGTCATTGTTCGGCATGTTTGAATTCGAAGCGGCGTTATCAAAATTTTTGCTTCTCAAATTATAGCGTGGCATGCGTAAGTTAAAGATGGCGGTTATTCACAGCAGTTCGGTGAATAAATATTAAAATTAATGTTGCGGCGGCTATTGCAACGTAGTAAGATGTACACGAATATAGTAAGAACTCTTTATTTCTATAAAGTAATTGGCAAAGTATATACAAGATAATCAGTAAGATAGAGTTTTAATATCTGTAAGAATATTAATGAATACCAAAAAAATACAAAAATGTTTCAGCTCTTACTTATTCGTGCTTTCCTGTCGGCTCTTCGTAAAAAAGTGAAGCCGGAAGAAGCCATTACATATTTAAGAAATTCTCTATACCTAAACAGAGTTGTATTACAATGTAGTAAAATTATAAAAGAAATATAAAGTGTATGATTTTAATAAGCTAAGTGCATATTTCAGCAACAACAGTTGTTGCTTGAGCTGATCTGCTCTTTTACCAGACTGCCAGGCCACTTGCTCACTTTGCTGAATACCTCTAATGTTATTCAATCCAGCATTCAAAGTGAGGAAAAAACATATATGTCGATAAACACCGTTGCGGAAAAAGACGAGCAACGGACCAACGGAATTTTTGAACATGATTGATCTTCCAGGAATGACCCTACATACTAAATTTGAAAATAGGTGTGGCAATTATCATGTTGCGGAATATTAATCAGTCAAAACTCTGCAACGGCACGCGACTCGCAGTTAAGAAATTGATGAAGAACGTAGTGTAAGCAAAGCTTTTTTTCAAAGATGAAGAATTCCCATGTTTCCGACCGATACACCATTTCAGTTTAAAAGATTGCAATTCCCAATTCGATTGGTATTCGGAATCACAATCAATAATGCTCAAGGTCAACCAACCTTTGGAAAAGTGTGGTTTAGATTAAGATGCGGATTGCTTCTCAGATGTTGCGTGTTCCCGTGTCGGCCAAGCAGATATCCTTGATATCTATGCAGAGAAAGGAAAACCGACAAACATTGTGTGCACACAAGTACTTATTACAAAATCAAACTTATGTGAAACGTATGCTTTGTTTCGTTATTAATTTATGATCCGTGTAACAGGAATATGTCACAGCAAAGTGAGGCAGGGTACAGCTAGTAATTTATATATGTCTTTGCAAGTATCGGAGTTATTCAAAATATTTATTCAAAAACCTGTGTTTTACAGCAAGTACAGCCGTTGCAAGTAATAGGGCATTCGCACGCGGCGATTTTACAGGCAACAAAAGTTGAGTAAGTAGTTGAATGAGAAGTTGAAAGTGAAAAAATTGCCATCCCTATTCAGACGAGGCGATTTTGGATTCAACACGAATCGTTATTTACATTATTGAAAATGTATTTAAATCGCAAAATTTTATCAATTGGCGTAAATTTGGTAAGCCAAGCGTTGGTAGAAGTGCTTTTAGCGAAGCTGAAAGATAAAATAAGAGTAAAAAAGAAAAAAAAGTATGTATACAGAACAGTGTTGGCATTTTTGGTACAATTGTACTTGTTTGATACAATTTCATTTACAATATACTTTTCTACTACGCAGTACTTTTTAGTAAAATTTTGTAATGAATACTAAAAATATATAGCTCTGAAAATTCACAGTTCGCCTGTTCGTATTTACCTTTGTAAGTTTTGAAAAATGGCTTGAACGAACCAGTATAACATAGCCTAGCCAAATTTTTAAAGAAACTTTTCGATACTAAGTTTTATTAAAACAAAATGTCAAAGTCAGCTTCATATAGAAACAAAGTCTTCGTTGGTTATAAGAAGAGATTTTCTTAAATATAATACCTCTACGGCACTCACATATTGACAAGGTTTTACTATTTATTTTATAATTCTTTAATTTTAATTATCTGTTTATAAACTATAATGTATTCTTTAAGAAAAACTGTATAAACCCAAGATTAAATCTTTGCGAAACATCCAAAAACCAACATACTGTCGTAAAAATTTCGAGCTTTATTAATATTCTTTAGTTTTTAGCCCATTCAATTTTAGTATAATAAAGTGCAAGTTTAAAGTAGCTGGGACTTACCGTTGAACTTGGCAATTTTGTTTTGTCGACGATGTCAGCCATTTTCTTCCATACGAAGTCTGTTCGACGATTTTTTTATATGGAGGAAATTAGCAGCACCTTCATCAAAGAAATCTTAAAAAACTTAGTTATATTAAAATTTAATGGGCTAAAAAACCACACACTCAAAATAAATCTAGGAAATCGAATTAAATAGATCGAAATTTTTACGAAAGTGTGTTGGTTTTTTTAATGTTGCACAAAGTTTGAACCTTGGATTTGTACGGCTTTTCTTAAAATATAAAACGTATTTTTACAAAAAATAATTAAAATTGAATAATATTAAGATAAATGGTCAAATCTTCTCGTAAAGTTTTGATAAGCACTTGAAATTCTGTGTCAAATTTTAGTACTGAATCCAAAGAAAATGTCTCTTTTATCCATTAATAATAACTTAAATATGCCTTTTGTTAAGATGTATACCTGAAAATGGTTGCATACATATTTGCGTTAAATGCAATACATGTGCACGTGGAAGCAATTTGTAAAAGTGTAAAATACGTAACCGTATGTACATAAACAATAAAACTTTCTCATGAATACCATAAAATTATTAGTCTTGAAGGGAATGTACTAAGAAAATATATGAGCGAATTAAAAAGTGTATACAATTTATAGCCGAAAAGTACATTTTTTGTATAGATTTCGTACTGGAGGAACAATTTCATATCCCAACACTGATACAGAATGTAAACAAACACAGGGTTGCAAGGAAAAAAAGTTGAACGAGCTCAAAGTTGGCTGGCGACCAACTTTGTTGAAAGCGATTAGTTGAAAGGCCGTTTGGACGAGGCGATTGTTGCTTTCAACTAAAAGTTGCCTGAAAATCGCCTCGTGCGAATGCCCTATAAGTTTTGCGTGCTAGGAGCTCTGCGTGCTCGTCCACGTTTGGCTAGTGGAGTCCATTGAGAAGTACAGCCAGTGTTGCCAGTTTAGCCTTTTTGAAGCTAGATCTAGCTTTCGTCTTTATCGTTTAGCTTCGGAATTTAGGATTTAGTTTCGTGGCTTTTTTATCCTTTTTTTATTTTCAATTTAGCATTTTTTTAAGAACAGCCGTCCACAATATTTGTAGTTGCACTAAATTATTGTTCCCGTTCAGTTTTACTTGACGAAATGTTAAGCGAATATCACCCTTCGGCTTCGCCGTTTAGTCTGCTTCATTTGCGTGTATATACGGTTTGCTCTTAACTATGCACTTTCCAATTGAAACATTCACGATTGTAATCGTATTGTAATGTATAAAGATATTTCATGGTACAAAAGTACCACTACTTTGTCTTCATGGACCATCGGTTTTCAGACCCTTAAAAAGAGTCCCCTTTACTATTAAAATGGGTTTATTAAACGGTATGATGTTCAAAAATGTATGTACAAGGCTTTCATGAAATTTCATGACCGCAAGTGCTTTGGCTGTCGAGATATTTAAATTTTGGTTGCTCGGTGGTACATTTGTACCATCTCTTTGTACATACGAGTTAGTGAAATGTTGAAAAGGCTGGCCTTTTTTTTACCTTTTTTTTGCCATTTGGCTTTTTTTGGGTAATTTAGCTTTTTTATTTTTCAAGCCCTGGCAACACTGATTACAGCTGCAGCAATTTATTTGGTGAAGTGCAGCCGTTGCATACTTACAAGTAGGGAACCCAATCCCGCAAACGCGGGATCCCGCGCGATGTCTGTGAGATCAAAAACGAGGGACTACACATGCGGGATCCGCGGGATTTACGGGACTACAGAAAATAATTAAAAAGACGAATGCGACTTGTGAACGTGCTCGCCAAAATGCTCGTCGTGCATGGCTGTATTACTGCCCGTTTCCACAGGATAAAGTTTATATCTTGATACATATGTTAGAATATAAATAGCCAATGGAGAACGCTCATTGCTCTTCAATACTAATATATATCAGAGCTTATATCTTGCCATCTATTGCCGGCCATTTGGTAGTTTGACAGCTACATGTTCATTTGCATGAAAACTTCGTGGCGGCAACATTGTTGCGCCGCCTTTAAAAATGTTGTGCCGCCTTTAAAAATATCCGCAACGCTTTAAGAGATGGTATCCCTGGAGCTCAGGCGAATTTCTCTCTATCTATATTCCTCTTCGCTGTCAAAGCAATTACGCTCTCACATAATTCATTTGATTACTCGTACTTTTCAACACGTTCAATTGCAATTGCGGCAAACAGAAGAAAAGTTCGGCGGCCTTTCTTTTTATTGAATGTATTTCATTAAATTAAACTTAAAATACTAAATATTGAAATCTTACAAGCGATCGGGTGTTACGCTAAACACAAGTGTAAGACTCAGATTTTTCGCCTTATAATTATAACAATTTGTAAAGGAATGCTTAATAAATTTACAGATTTTAGTGAATTTTCAACACACTGAAAGTACGGTTTTTTATTTCGCACCCGACGTAACAATCTAAAATGCTTGCGTTTAAATGCTTTGGTAAAACCAACATACTTTGGCTTCTGGCAACGACTTGCACCTTTTGCTGCAATTGAAAGTTCTGCAGGTCAAAAGCTGCAATCGCCACTTGGAGTACATAACCTGCAAATTTGGCAATTGGAGCCTCGAAAGCTGCAATCGCACCACGCCGTTATTTATAACTTACTTTGCTCTATTGAGCAAAAGCAGAATTTACCCCCTGATGTATCACCATCTCGTACGAGCTCTGGTATTTTGCGTTTGGCAAACCCCCACAAACGTTCCCGCATTGCTCGGACTACTTCTGCAAGTACCAATGTTACCAAAGCAAGAGCTCCAAAAGTAACCTGGTGCTTCTCTGCACCCACTACCCCGGTCAGCTCAAATGCTTTCTCAACAACCTGTGCCAACAGCTCTTAAAACCTGAGTGTGCAATTTGCCACAAGTAGCGCCTACTACCTACAATAATCAAATATTTCATAGTCATACCCCTTTTTCTAACAACGTATTTTCTAACGCCATTCAAGGTCAACGTCCGTTCTATTCTCCATCAACGGGCATAACAAATTCACTGGCAAACAATGCCGTCAGTTGTACAGCGCCAATGACGTCATTACATCATACTAGTTCAAGTTTTCCTTTTCTGCTAAATTCGGTAGCGGATATAACTTTGTCTTCATTACAAATCGCCGCGCGTCACGTAATGTCCAAGGATTTGCCTGTATTTTCTGGCAATCCCGAAGACTGGCCGCTCTTCATTACCAATTTCGAGCAGTCGACCGAAAGGTGTGGTTTTACAGACCAGGAAAATTTAATTCGCCTGCAAAAATGCTTAAAGGGCCCAGCTTTAGATGCTGTTAGGGGGAAGCTGATGTTGCCTAGCACGGTGTCATTTGCCATTGAAACGCTACGCATGTTGTACGGCAGACCCGACGTCATCCACCATACCCTTCAGAAGAAATTAAGGCATCAACCTATTGTCAAAATGGAAAAGTTGGAGACGCTGGTAAACTTTGCATTGACAGTCTAAAATTATAGGGCCACAATGCAAGCTATTGGGCTTCAGGACTACTTGAATGATCCCATGCTATTGGACGATTTGCTCGATAAGCTTCCAAGCGATCTGAGATTGGATTGGAGTAAGCACCAAATGACGCTTCCACGAGTTGATATAGCAATTTTTGACAACTGGCTTTTCCAACTTGCCACCTGTGCCTGCCAAGTTAAACCTATCGGGCATAGCAATGTCACACTTTCTGCAAGTGAGGAAAGAAAGGGACATCGTAAATTATCCGAAGAACGGGTTATGCTTCGCGACGTTCGCCGCAGTGAGGGAGAAAGCTGTCCAAAATGTTCTAAGCAACATTGTCTGTCAGACTGTGTCCAATTCAAACCTTTGAATGGAGACATGAGGTGGAAATTCGTCCCTGAGAAAAAATTATGTATAAGGTGTTTCAAAGGGCACTTTGTGGCGACCCTGCGACTCTAAAAAGACATGTTCCGTTGATGGCAGCAAAATGCCCCACAATCCACTGCTTCACGCACCCACGCAAGGAAATATGAGATCCTTGGCAATATCTGAAGGCGTAGATGATATTGCTAAGGACAATAAAATCACGATTTTCTGCTATATAGCCGTGCCACTTCACATGGTAAAACGGGGTCAATAGAAGCATACGCGTTCATTGACGAAGGGTCAGCGTGCACTCTTGTCGAAGACGGGTTGGCAGCTGGACTGGGTCTCGACCGACCGACAGGAGACCTCTGCCTTCAGTGGACAGGTGAGGTTACACAAAACGAGGCGAATTCAAAATCTGTTTGGCTGCATATTCCAGCTCGAAGTTCAGGTTCAAAGAAATACTTAATAAAAAATGTACGCAATGTACCCAATCTCAATTTGTCCATTCAGACACTTGAGGGCGCTGCCATATCATGTCGGTAGCATTTGAGAAAATTACCAATTCAGCCATATGTAGCAGCCCAGGAGCGTATTCTTATCGGCCTTCATAACATTAAGCTTGGTGTTCCCTTGCAAATTCGTGATAAAGATGGCGACGATCTAGTAGCAGCGAAATGTAAAATAGGGTGGTCCGTTTATGGACGTAACGACGTAAACGATGCCTCACGCCAACGTGTGATGCATATTTGCACATGTAGTGCAGATAGCCGCATTGTGGAGCTAGTCAAGTCACACTATACGGTAGAATCGATCGGCGTGAAAGACGTCTCGCCTTTAGTTTCTAAGGAAGATGAGCGTTCGCAGCGTATAATGAATGCAACTACTAAATATCTTCCAAGCGAGAAGCGATGGGAAACCGGTCTTCTCTGGAAGTATGACCATATCCAGCTGCCTGAGTCCTTACCTATGGCTAAGCGCCGTCTTCAGTGCCTTGAGAAAAGGATAGCACGTGATTCTAGCTTAAAATCATTTCTGGTAGACACCATTCAGCAATACGAACAGAAGGGTTATGTGCAAAAACTACGTAAAGATGAAGTGCTGGCTGGTCCCAAACTCCAACAAAAACAAAACTAGGTTGGTGTGGGATGCTGTGGCTATGGTTGATAAGGTTGCTTTGAATTCTGTGCTTTTAAAAGGTCCAGACCTATTGAAATCAATGGTAGGTATTTTGATCCGCTTTCATGAAAATCCAATAGCTTTGTGCGATGACATCCGTGAGATGTTTCACCAAATACGTGTCAGGCAGGAGGATCAAATTGCTCAAAAGTTTTTATGGCGGAATGGTGAAACATCAAAGGAACCGAATGTATATGTCATGCAAGTTATGACGTTTGGTGCAACTTGCACTCCATCGATAGCTAATTATGTCAAGAATGAAAATGCCGCTCGTTTCGAAGTTCACCATCTAGATGCTGTTAAGACGATCTTGGATAATACTTTTGTAGGCGACTGGCTACAAAGCATGTAAACTGAAGACGAGATGATTAAATTATCTACAACAGTTCGTCACATTCACGCCGATGGAGGGTTTGAAATGCGAAACTGGAAATCAAACTCCACGAAAGTTTTAAAATCCTTGACAGGGCAGATAGATCAAAACGACAAGTATATCGAAGAAGAACCTAATTTTAAACACGAAAAGGTACTAGGTGGTCACCGATGGCGGATGTGTTGACGATTTTCAAACATTTCCCGAAACAATTTTATAATGAAATCAACATGCCAACGAAGCCCCAAATGTTACGTGTTATAATGACGGTATTTGACCCGTTAGAATTGTTGGGTTTCTACCTCATTTCTGCGAAAATTTTAATGCAAGAGATATGGCGCTCGGGCGTTTCGTGGGACGATCCGGTAGGTAAAGAAGAGCAAGAGAAATGGTGGCAGTGGATTCGACGCCTGCCTGCAATTTCTGATATTAAGGTGCCTCGGTATTATTCGTTAGTAAGTCATGGCGAACGCGTCCAGCTACACACATTTGTGGACGCCAGCGTAGATGCTTATGCGGCCGTCGTGTACCTCCGCACAGAGAAAAATGCTGATGTTGATTGTTGCTTGGTTGCGTCCAAAACCCGAGTTGCGCCAATTAAGCTAATATCGATCCCTAGATTGGAGTTAATGGGTGCAATACTAGGTTTTCTACTGTCATAGTTTATTACTGCAGAGTTGTCCATTTGTATAGAAAAGCGAGTATTTTGGACCGATTCCAAAAATTTTCTATATTGGATAAAATCAGACGTCAGAAAAAATCATAAGTTTGTGGCGGTGCGGGTAGGTGAGATCTTAGTAGACTCCAGTATCGATGAAAGGCGGTGGGTGCCTTCGGGAAATAATGTCAAAGCCAGAATTTAATGGAGCGGCGCGTTGGTATGTGGGACCTACATTTTTGTCTCAGCCGGAGGTGAATTGGCCACAAACCAATATGGACTAAGATCAAGAGCACTTTTACGAACTAGTTTGCCACGTCGCACTGCACACGCCTCTAAAATCATCGTTGTCTGTGATAAGCGTGAACCCTGACCGGTTTAGCAAACGCGAAAAACTAAGGAATGCACAAAGTTATGTGCTGAAGTTTCTTCAGAGCGTGAAAAAACAGACAAACGTACTAAAAATCAACACACTGGTTAATATGAGTACCGTGGCATGTGCGGAATGTGTAATTATTCGCATTTGCCAAGAAGAGGCAGTTGGCGAAGAATTGCAACTTCTCAGAGAAGGGAAAGTGGTTTCATAAACAAACCAGTAGGATTCACAAGGACTCGCCATATTTGGATGAAGAAGGCCTCCTGAGAGTTAGAGGTAGGATAGATGCAATGAAATACGCAACCTGCGACACTCGAAGACCAATCATATTGCCACGTCTCCTTCGTGTGACGTCTCTTATTACCGACTTTTACCATCGAAAGTTCCACCACCATCACAACGAAATTATAATAAATGAGGCAGCACTATTGGGTGCAAGCTTTGAGAGCCTAAGTGAGACCAACAGCAAAAAACTGTCAACTATGTCGAAACCGGAAAACGCATCCAAGCGTCCCGGAAATGGAAAACATTCCAGCGGAGAGAATTGCAGCGTACGAGAGACCTTTTACAAATACTGGCGTGGATTTTTTCGGGCCGATTGAAATTGTAGTTGGCAGGCGGCGAGAAAAGCGCTGGGGCGTGGTTTTTACGTGTTTGACTATCAGAGCAGTCCACATCGAGATAGCACATTCATTGTCAACAGATTCGTTTCTACTCGCGTTAAAGCAGTTTCTGTTTCGCCGTAGTGTACCAAAGTGCATTTGGTCAGACAACGGCACCAATTTTCGAGGTTCTATCCGGATACTGAAAAATGAAATGAGCGAATGATATCTGGTGAGCTGGAGCGTCGACATCCTGAAGTGAAGTGGCACTTTATTCCACCGGCATCGCCTCATACGGTAGGTGTTTGGGAGTGCATGGTTCGCTCGATTAAATCTATTCCAAAAGTAAATGTTCGCGAAGAGGTGCTCCGTGCTTCTCTGGCTTGAATTCTCGTCCACTGGTCTATGTGCCAATAGATTATCCGGAAATGGAAACACTAACACCAAACCATTTTCTTCTTGGTGATTCTAATGGAATACGAGGTCGAAACGAGCAGAGTACTACCGGGCCGATTTGGGTAAGAACTTTCGAATAGCCAGTCAAATTTCG